AATATTAATATAAAAAGTATAACTGGACAAACAGTAAGCCCACGCGTGGTTCTTGTTGTTGGAATCCATGAAGGTTTTTCCTCGAAATAAGTTTACAATGAAATCGACATTGCCATGCATGCCAGGCTGGCACATTGACGTGAATTCTATAGTTGAAGGAGTGTGTATGCACGTGTGCATGTGGGCACAACAAACAGACTTCGCAGCAGCACGAAACATTCTCTTACAATGGTTGCACAGAAGACAGCGGTAGATAGACAAAGGGCTGTTACCTGTACACAGAATATATACGAACGCCACAGACAAAGACGATTTATCAGGGACTTTTGTTCGTTCTATTGATGTTTGCAGAAAATAAATAGAGTAAAATACACACACACACAATGCGAAGTAGTACATGTGGTGTATATGTATAAATAACACCTGCCACAGTGACACCTCATGAAAGATGCGTGGCCTGGCTACTCCGTTTAAGGAAGGCCACACGCGTGGCATTCTGCTCCAAAGATAAAGGCGTACTACAGACGTGTGCTATTTTACAACGATGATCTTCTGGATAAATCCTGTGGCTGTAGGTTAAGGTTTTTACAACACTCGATTTTGTTTTGGCCATTATACAGTACCTCTGGTTACAAAAATAAATTAAACAAATCATTCTGTGCAATAAACACTGCTGTTGTTTACATTCAAACATCTGCAAAATTAACATTCACAACTGCCCACACAGTGTATGAGGCATAAGAAGGGCATGACAACGAGTCACCCAAATACACGACCTTGATTATGACCAAGACGACCTCGCGTCGCTGGGCCCAGTGAAACCAGCGGCAGATCAACACTAACCAGCAGAGCGCAGAGGCCGGCGCTTACGTGCCCGGACCTCACGCCGCCGTGCGCCGGTCCTCGCGGCCGAACTGCCGCGTATCTCTAGACCGCGTTTCCGGGGGTCGTACCGCATGTTGCTGATTGGCACGATGTGCGACGTTTCGCTGGGAGCTTCTTCAGGAGCTGAATTTCTAATCTGCGCAGCGTTCAGCGTCCGAAGAAGCTCCCAGCACGTGCAGCGGCACGTGGTGCACCCCGACAACGCAGCACAGGGCCTTACACCTCCACCTGGCTATGAGGTCACGCATTCAGCTGCAGGAGGTTAAACCTACAGGCAGAATTACTCTCATATCACGGAGCAATCATACCAAACGTCAACTAATTTCTAACAGCAATTTCAAGTAATGGTATACCAAGCATATTGCTTCCGAACTTTCTATTAAACCATTTTTTCTACTGTCCCCTGACAGCACATTCTTGCCGATCTTTAATTTTTCCCGTGTCTATTGCACACACACAGTGACCCATCCTCCGCACCCTCTACACAAAAACATGCTAATCCCCCAGCTAATTTTCTGACTTTGACACCCTGCTGCTTCAACACTTTAACACAGCTATTTTTGATATGTAAACTCCTTTGTCAAGGCGCCCTGCTCCTCCCACCGAGCTTAAAAGGCACTGCGAATCTTAGCAGCGTTCATTGAAGCGCTGTCGTCCCGACAGTTCTGTTCCTACACCTGAAGAAGGCCACTTGTGTTGTGGCCGAAACGTCGTGATTTTTGTTGTTTCATTTTTTACCTAAGTGACTTTACCAAATAGAACCAAAGAGTATGAATGCTAGTTTAGTTTATAACGCACACAGTGCTGGTTGTATAACACAAAACGTTCTTGATGCACAAATGTATCGCAAGGCTGACATGCAGGTGAATGTTAGTTTATAACGCACACAGTGCTGGTTGTATAACATAAAACGTTCTTGATGCACAAATGTACCGCAAGGCTGACATGCAGGTGAATGTTAGTTCATAACGCACACAGTGCTGGTTGTATAACACGTAGCGCCAATGTGTGCCAACATCTTTCGTCACGTATTTTGGAAAGCCGTGGATACCCACAATGCAGCAGCGGTGGATGCACTAACCGCTGCTTTGCTGCATTGGCGATTTTGAGGCTTAATTAAAAAGTAGTTTGAACGATTCTCTGCTGAAATTTGATGAGGGTGGCTTCCCGTAAAATGTGATTTATTAATGGGATCAGTGCGGTGTTCAGGCAAGCAGCCATTCCCAACTTTCCGTCTAATTAATAAGGCATTAACTAGCAGTCCCTGTGCTGTTTTCCCGGAATCTTTAAGGGGCATTATTTATTTAAAAATGGAGGCATATCAGGTGGCTGGTCCTGACCTATTGAGTTTCATCCCACAAGAAAATCTTTACGCATCTTGGTGGACGAAAGTGATCGATAGAAAGCTGAAATCCCTAAAATAATTACGGAGCGCGGATATCGCAACCAAACATCACAACAGCAGAGGCTTATGTAACACGGTTCCAAAATACACCGCCGGCAGGAGAACAAGAACCAATGTTTGTTTCCAGGAACGAGGTTCAGCGCCCGTGGGGAATGCTGAGTGTCTGTGCGATGTGGCCATGTTGGTGGTGATGTGGTGGTGATGTGGGAGTGGTGGTGTGGTGGAGGTGATGTGGCGGTGGAGGTGATGTGGTTGTGATGTGGTTGTGATATGGTGGTGGTGTGGTGGAGGTGATGTGGTGGTGTGGTGGAGGTGATGTGGAGGTGATGTGGTTGTGATGTGGTGGTGGTGTGGTGGAGGTGATGTGGTGGTGGTGTGGTAGAGGTGATGTGGTGATGATATGGTTGTGATATGGTGGTGGTGTGGTGGAGGTGATATGGTGGTGGTGTGGAGGTGATGTGGAGGTGATGTGGTTGTGATGTGGTGGTGGTGTGGTGGAGGTGATGTGGAGGTGATGTGGTTGTGATGTGGTGGTGGTGTGGTGGAGGTGATGTGGTGGTGGTGGTGTGGTGGAGGTGATGTCGTAGTGATGTGGTGTTGGAGGTGATGTGGTGGTGATGTGGTGGTGGTGTTGTGGTGATGTGGTGGAGGTGGTGGAGCTGGTGGTGACATGGAGGTGGTGGAGGCGGTGGTGGCCGCCAACCAAGCCAAAGTGAAGTGAGTGGCGCGCCCGTGGAGATGCGGAGATGTGACTCTACGAAGAAGCCCACGAAGTAAACGATCTGTGCACAGCGAATGCGGGAAACCACAAACCACAACCACAGGGGGGGGAACCTCCCACACGACGCAATCGTACGGCGGTGCCATTCGTGCATTCACTGTGCATATGAGAGGCTGTGCGCGAGCACCAAAGGTTTACTATTCAATTCAGTCTCTGCACAAATACCTGCAGGTGTAAAAAGAGACTGGTGGAAAAGGTTCTAAACGTACTCTGTTTTAAATCTTGACTTAAAGCTTTCATGACTGCAGGAATTCATATTCTTGGGTCTTTTGGTAAAGTCACGTAGATAGGCGACCGCTTTGGCGACCGCTTGTGTTGCGATCGAAACGTCGTTGTTTTTTGTTATTTTCTTTGAACCAATCTACGTGACTTTCCCTAAAGACCCAAGAATATGTACTCTGTTTTGTACGACATGCTCTTGGTACAATTTGCACGCATCCATTTGTATCTATCAATACGTAACCAACGCACCTCAACATAACGAAGCGTATATCATGAATTCACCTTGCCCTGTTGGTTAGAGTTTGTACAGGAAGCTTTGTTGAAAATACTAAAACGCATACCTGCAAAGTGAAGCATGAACATGCAGGAGAAATATGTAATCCTGAACTCATAAACGTAGATAATGGTGAGTAATACTTGATGGTTCTCAAGTCACTTTTGAGATGGGCCACAAAGACAAAGATCCCCTGTATAGCCTTAACAGACTGTTGGGGCAAGTGCTGTTAGCGAGCACCTATTAAAGCCGGCACAGCATACGAGGAGGTGGGTGGCCAACACCACGCCCGGTCGCCTTTGTCTCGCTAGTGGTGATGTTTACATATCGTAGCAGGTACATATTTGAGGCTAAGTCGACCTAGGGGAGGCCCAGGACCGGTTCAGATATATAATCGTCACTGGTGTTGGCCGCGAGCGAGAATCGAACCCGGGTCTCTAGGTTCGTAGCGCAGCGCGCTAACTGCTACACTACCGCTCCCCACACACACAGCCACTGGGCGAGAGAGGCACACGTCGCTCAATCAATGGGGTCTTTGCAGCAGTGAGATCATTCTTTATCATTGTTGTGCTGTGGTTACGCAGCACGGCTACAACATTAACACCTCCTGCGCCTGGATTCACCAGTGTCTAGAACATTACACAGTGTGACATGAATACCATAATATTCATGATGTGCTTTTTAATGCACGATAATAAATTACCATGAACATAAAAAAAGAATGGAATGATTCATTCCCAGGGAAATTTGAAGACTTGTCACTAATCGAGCTCACAAGGAAATTAAACGATACATTTTTCTCATTTAATTTTTAACCGACTCGTTTAAGCTGCATTTGTCAGTTCCGTTCATTCCATGAGCTTCAGCTTCTTCGAAGAACAACGCACGGTACAAACCCGAAAGCACGTCGGAGCGCTGAAGCGGCAGTCAACCTGCATGCGTTGCATCATTGTCGACATGAACGCTCCGCGGTTCACTCTGTCAGCCACGGGCTGAGACCCCATCGGGGCGACTACACAACCACCAGGAGAGGCCTTCGCTCACTTTCCCTGCTCCTACTGTGAACAAAGACAAAGATCCCCCGTGTAGACTTCAGCAGGCTGGTGGGGAAGGTGCTGCTAGTGAAATGCACCCATGAAGGCCATCATGACACATGACGGAGTGGGGTGGCCAGCATCACGCCTCACCGCCTTTGTCTCAAAAGTGCCGATGTTCACACACCGCAGCAGGTTCCCATTTAAGGCTGATTCATCCGAGGAGGGGAGGCCCAGGACCGGTTCAGATAATCGTCACCGGTATTGGCCATGAGCGGGTATGGAACTCGGTTCGCCAGGTTCACAGTGCAGGACGCTAACCGCCAAGCCGCTGCTCCTCTCGACGCACGCACAGCGCACTCGCACGTACACACGCGCACGGAGCACGCGTGCACTCACCGCCGTTGGTGTCGTGTGTGGAGGCGGCCAGGTAGACCCCCGCGCCGTCAAGCGAAGAGCGGTCGGGCGAGTCTCGCTGTCCCGTCACTGCACCTGTTGCGCTTCCCAACTCCTGCATCTCCATGCACCTGCGTCGTCGCGCGTGCGTGGGCGCGTGCGTGCGTTTGTTTGTGTACATTCAGGATGTGTGTGTGTGTTTGTGTGTGTACGAAATGGTTTGGTGTCCGTGCATGTGTGTAAGTATGGAGATTGTGTGTGCGCATGGACATAATGGGAATGATATGTGCGCGTGTGTTTATACATTATTGTTGAGGATGTGCGAGTGTGTGTGTGCACGTGCATGCATGTGTTGGCATGATATATATGTGCATGTACGTGTGCGTGGAAATAATGGTATGGTGATTGTGTGACCATTAATGTGTTGGTATGGTGTTCATTTGTATGTAAGCGCAGTGACGTGTTTATTTGGTACCCATGTGCATGTGTGCGTGAATGTGTTGGTTTGTTGTTTGTGTGGTGCGTGCATGTACATGAACGTATGTGTATAGCGTATGTGTGCATGCGTGTGATGTGAAGACAGAGGGAAGAGGCAAGCCACACACTTAACAAGCATAGTGCTGACGGTGCTCACGGCTCTCGTGACGCTGCAAACTCGCAACCGGCTATTCATTAAGCTTCACAAAAACATCCAAGTCGCACCATGGCCTTATCAAGTTTTAATTAGCACGCTATTTAGAGTGAGCCTTTTTTGCGAACACACCTATGAGAAACTCACAATCAGACGATACCACAGCAATCTTACACAATGAGTTCTATAACTCACCGCTGTTATCATTCATGCACACAAACTGTGGACCTTACGAAGCCCTGACGATGACCGTGCAGGCTCTGTGTGCTGCAGCTCGGCAGTCAAAACCACGCTGGGAAAATATCTGGGGCGGGAACTCTCTACTTCTGATTGTGCTCAGCAGCAGCATTTTAATTTAAAGGTAAAAGTTTTAGTTTAGCATAAAGTTAAGGCCACATCTTAAACTAATGTCACTCGTAACGTGCATCCATCAAAAAGGTACCAATCAATTGCGTACCACATATTCCCCGTAGCAGTGTCACCAAGGGATAAACGATGTGAGAGACATTACGGATATTCTTCCAAAAAGTCAGTGGGCTTGGGCAGCACAAATCGCTGGCAGCGACGATGCCCAATGGACGAGACTGACAGTACGCCCACCGTGGACATGGAGCGACGTAATCCGCTCTTGTGACCAGACGGCTTGTGGCAGCACAAAACCGTGAGCTCTGGCGACAACGATGGAGACGCTCTGATCCAGCAGTGAATAGATCATGGCCGATGACTGCATTGGAACTTCACTCTACGTTATAGTACGCGCGCAAATAGAGAGCAAAGTCTGCATTGTTCTCGTTGTACTATCCTTCACTGCCGTCCTTAAGTCGTACAAAGTGAAGCCCTCCCACTTAAAGCCTTGCCCAACATGGTGTCCACGGAAGAATTACCACGGTTCACCCAGATCGCTTCTCTGGAGACTTCAACTGTCGCCAACGTGGCCACCTTGGGATGGTCCGCTGCGACGAAACCAAAAACAGACGACGCCCAAACAGAAGGGCGAGTGGCCAGCTGAAGCAATCTCCAAACTGACGCGTCAACGTGTCACGAGAGTTGGATGAACTTCATTGAGACAGTGAGTCTAGGCAGTTGAGTTTCTGGGCAGGACAGTTTGTCCAATATATGTCAGGGCAAAATGTGGCAGTCGGAATTCACAAGAAACACTTGTTTGCCCTAAACAGGTTCTTGTTTTGATTTAAAAAACACAATAAAAATAAGAGTGGTTTATTGATGTAGGGGATGGCTCTGGGATGACCACACATGACCAGGTTTTGTGGTAAATTCATACGGGCATCGCGCGTGTCAATAAGCCCGCAGTGTAGTTGTGGATTAAGCGCGAGGGCAGGCTAGCACGTGCGAGCGAGCGATACACAAGCCGAACGCTCACAAGCGAGCACATGCTTGCATTGTGTTTGCCAAGAGTACGTGCCACTTGCGAGTGAGCAGAACTACGCTCTTGTTCCGCGCACGTCCGCGTGCAGGAGCGCCTGCGCATTTGTACATGCGCCGGGACGCCCCGCGCGCGAGCTTACGCGCGCATATGTACGTATGTAAGAGCGTAGTACGAGCGTACGAACGGGGGGGGGGGGGGGGGGGGTTGGAATGGCGGGTTAGCAAGGGTGAAGGGACGGGGGAGTCTCGTTGAACCGCTAACCCTCGCGGCACCGCCGTGACAGATGGGCAGCTAATGCGGTGGGGATTTGAGGGGCCCCGGCGCCTTGCCCGAGAGCTCCCAACAGCGACTCGCGGAGGAAATCATGGCAGGCGAAGGGGGCGAGGGGGGTACTGGGAGGCGCGCTGCGGTTAGACTCCAGACAGCCCAGCGCTCGGCGTTCGCTGCGCACCATCTTAAACATTTCCTCCTCGCCAGCCCTGCCATGCTCGGGGAGGGACGGCCCAACGTGCATCTCTTCAAGCTAAACTATGTGGAAACAAGTCAAGGGCATGGCCATTAACCACAGTGGAAGATGACGTGTAACTTTTTTTTGTTAAGTAGCTTCACTTCCACAACCACTTTAATAATTATAACAAGCTGTTTGTCTAACCGTGCGACAAGAATTAAAAAAAACATTGTAAAATGCCTTAAAAAATGAACATTATTGACAGTGGTTGTCTTACAGGTAAACTCGCTCCTGCCATAGGAAAGTGGAATTTCCACCAATGGCTCGGGGCTGTAAACAGGACAGGAGCACCGCCTCAATGCTGTAAAATCACTCGTTGGAAAATCCCTCTTTTCTACATTTATGAACATATCAAAAAGTGACGATTCCAACTCAGTCACCCACACATTCCAAGGTATATGAGTAACTTGACACTGTGACAATGGAAGCTAGATATTCCCCGATCTGAAACATCACAAAAATGCGGACACTTCTTTTGTAGCAAGGCATCAGAGAGACGCTGTTTAATTTACGCCCATTGAACGGCAGCGGCGTCACATTTGATTACCACCACATCAGAGACCACATCGCAGGCCACATCACAGGCGGGAGAAAGCCACCTCCGAGGCCGGCTTCGTTAACTCTCTCACGCTCCCCTCGGTGCGTCACCGACGCGTTCCGCGCTAGAGAGGTTGCACCAGATCCCAGCCCTCGTCAATGACGGCGGATTTGTGGCCGTGCGTCGTCGCACCCCCTCCTCACCCTCGCAAAGGGCCCAGACGTACACAGCGACCCTCATCGACCTCGCGTAACAGCCTCGCATGCTGCAACTCGGACTCACGACGATTCATAACAACTCAGACTCACCACGCCTCATAACAACTGAGACTCACCACGCCTCATAACAACTCAGACTCACCACGATTCTATAACAACTCAGACTCACCACGCCTCACAACAACTCAGACTCACCACGCTTCATAACAACTCAGACTCACCACGATTCTATAACAACTCAAGACTCACCACGCTTCATAACAACTCAAACTCACCACGCCTCATAACAACTCAGACTCACCACACTTCATAACAACTGAGACTCACCACGCCTCATAACAACTCAGACTCACCACGCCTCACAACAACTCAGACTCACCACGCCTCATAACAACTCAGACTCACCACACCTCATAACTCACTCACCACGCTTCATAACAACTCAGACTCACCACGATTCATAACAACTCAGACTCACCACACTTTGTAACAACTCAGACTCACCAAGCCTCATAACAACTCAAACTCACCACACTTCATAACAACTCAGACTCACCACACTTTGTAACAACTCAGACTCACCAAGCCTCATAACAACTCAGACTCACCACGCCTCACAACAACTCAGACTCACCAAGCCTCATAACAACTCAGACTCACCACGCCTCATAACAACTCAGACTCACCACGCTTCATAACAACTCAGACTCACCACGCCTCATAACAACTCAGACTCACCACGCCTCACAACAACTCAGACTCACCACGCTTCATAACAACTCAGACTCACCACGCCTCATAACAACTCAGACTCACCACGCCTCACAACAACTCAGACTCACCACGCCTCATAACAACTCAGACTCACCACGCCTCATAACAACTCAGACTCACCACACTTCGTAACAACTCAGACTCACCACGCCTCACAACAACTCAGACTCACCACACTTCGTAACAACTCAGACTCACCACGCTTCACAACAACTCAGACTCACCACGCTTCATAACAACTCAGACTCACCACGCCTCATAACAACTCAGACTCACCACGCCTCACAACAACTCAGACTCACCACGCCTCATAACAACTCAGACTCACCACGCTTCACAACAACTCAGACTCACCACGCTTCATAACAACTCAGACTCACCACACTTTGTAACAACTCAGACTCACCACACTTCGTAACAACTCAGACTCACCAAGCTTCATAACAACTCAGACTCACCACGCCTCATAACAACTCAGACTCACCACGCCTCACAACAACTCAGACTCACCACGCCTCATAACAACTCAGACTCACCACACCTCACACCAACTCAGACTCACCACACCTCATAACAACTCAGACTCACCACGACTCACACCAACTCAGACTCACCACACCTCACAACAACTCAGACTCACCACACCTCACAACAACTCAGACTCACCACACCTCATAACAACTCAGACTCACCACGCCTCATAACAACTCAGACTCACCACGCCTCACACCAACTCAGACTCACCACGCCTCACAACAACTCAGACTCACCACACCTCACAACAACTCAGACTCACCACGCCTCATAACAACTCAGACTCACCACGCCTCACACCAACTCAGACTCACCACGCCTCATGACAACTCAGACTCACCACACTTCATAACAACTCAGACTCACCAAGCCTCATAGCAACTCAGACTCACCACACCTCACACCAACTCAGACTCACCACGCCTCAAAACAACTCAGACTCACCACGCCTCATACCAACTCAGACTCACCACGCCTCATAACAACTCAGACTCACCACGCCTCATAACAACTCAGACTCACCACGCCTCATAACAACTCA